ATGAGGGCCCCCCAGCATCTCTGCCCGGCCCCTGGGACGTTGGGCGTGTTTGCCCCAAGTTCCGTACGAAGTGGCCAGGGGAGGCGTCTAGGGAATGCTTTTCCAAGTCTCTTTGGGTATGTCTACACTACCACCCTAGTTCGAACTAGGGTGGTAGTGTAGACATACCCTAGGTGCCATACCCGCCTGTCTGGCTCGGTGCTGGAATGGCAGGTGCCTGCCTGGGGGGGCAGCGCCGGCCTATCACGAGGGGGGCCACTCACGTGACCGGCAACGGGCCTTACGCGCTGCCGGTCCACAGCGGAGGAACGTGCAGACCAGCGGGGAGGAGCTGGTGGCTTGCCCAAGGCCAGCGGACTCGCTCTTGGGAGGCACTTCCCCCCACACGGGCAAGGGTGTAAAAAGGGCCCAAGAGGCTCCTCCTTTTGCCTTCGCTCCAGCACATCACTTCAGGGGCAGCTGTGCTAGGCACCGGCCCGGAAGGCCTGCTGAGCCCCCCACCAAAGGCTGCGCCCCAGAGACTAACCCAGCGGTTTGTTCCATCTCCACTAAGAGCCCGTCTCAGGCACTTTGCACTTGGCGTGTCTCGTCGTTTCCTTTAACAATCCTACTCTCCATCTTCTCTTTCTTCCTTTTATTAATAAACCTTCCGGTGTTAGATGCTTAAGGACAGGCCCAGCAGGCTCTTTGGGGTAAGATCTGAGGTATACATTGATCTGGGGCTGGGGCTGGTCCTTTGGGTTAGGGAGAACCTGTTGGGAGTTGGTGAGATTGATTTCATAACCTCTCACCTGGGTAAGGTGAGGCTGGTTGGGGCACAGGGAAAGTTTGGAGTGGTGTGGAAAAAGTGAACAAGGAAAAGTTATTTACTTATTCCCACAATAAAAGAACTAGGGGTCACCAAATGAAATTAATAGGCAGCAGCTTTAAAACAAACAAAAGGAAGCACGCAGTCAACCTGTGGAACTCCTTGCCAGAGGATGCGATGGAGGCTAGAACTTTAACAGGGTTCAAAAAAGAGCTAGATAGATTCATGGGGTCACTAATAGATCCATCAGTGGCTATTAAACAGGATGGGTAGGAATGGGGTCCCTAGCCTCTGTTTCTCTGAAGGTAGTTGACAGGGGAGGGATCACTTGAGGATTACCTGTTGTGATCCCTCCCTCTGGGGCACCTGGCATTGGCCACTGTCGGCAGACAGGACACTGGGTAGATGGGCCGTTGATCTGACCCAGTCTGGCCATTCTAATGTTATTTTTAGAGCTGGTCCCAGCCAGCAAATTCCACTGAAGCAAGACACTCTTCAAAAGCACACATGGGAAACCTGTGGATCATAGAAGTACTTTAAGAAACACAGGGTCTCATAGTGAGTCCCTGGAAGTGCTACACATGCAACGTGTCTGCTCAATACTAGCCCTAGTTCCTGTCCCCCAGATCACTCTCCTACCTGGGCGGTTCCACTTCCTTGCCTGCAATCCCCGACATTCCCAGTGTGTTCAGTAAGGACAAGAGCAGGGGGGGCACAGGGAGCACTGGGGTGTCTGAGGGGAGGTGGGGGATGGGTTATAATCTCTCACCTCTGTGAGGTAGGGCTGGGGGGGCACAGGGAGCACTGGGGTGTCTGAGGGGAGGTGGGGGATGGGTTATAATCTCTCACCTCTGTGAGGTAGGGCTGGGGGGGCACAGGGAGCACTGGGGTGTCTGAGGGGAGGAGGGGGATGGGTTATAACCTCTCCCCTGTGTGAGGAGGGCTGGGGGGGCACAGGGAGCACTGGGGTGTCTGAGGGGAGGTGGGGGATGGGTTATAACCTCGCCCCTGTGTAAGGGGGGCTGGGGGGCACAGGGAGCACTGGGGTGTCTGAGGGGAGGAGGGGGATGGGTTATAACCTCTCCCCTGTGTAAGGGGGGGCTGGGGGTGGGGCACAGGGAACTGTGGGGTGTCTGAGGGGAGGAGGGGGATGGGTTATAACCTCTCCCCTGTGTAAGGGGGGGCTGGGTGGGGCACTGGGGTGTCTGGGGTGTCTGAGGGGAGGTGGGGGATGGGTTATAACCTCACGCTTGGGCTGTCCGTAGCCCTGGTTCTAAGCAGTTTGCCTCTCAGCAGAGCCCCCAGGAACCGTCTATTACACTCGCCTTTGGCACTCTTGACTTTGAAGCCTCCAATGCTCTTTTCTTGCCATTTTTTGCATGTCATGATTATTAATCTGATTTGCCAGCCCCCTGCGTCTTAGGCGTATTGAGTCTTCGGGCAGAGTCCCACTGGAGCAGAGGCCGTTCCCCAGTCGAACCTCTGAGGTGCAGTTATTTTAACAGCACCCCCAGCCTCCCGGCGCTGGCCGCTCCTGTGCGGGGACTGCAGGTCTCTCCCTGGGGAGTTATAAGTGAGGGGGCTTCCCTTTGGTTGTAGCTGGGTCTGCATTGACTCTTGCTTGTCTCTTGCCAGTGAAATTGACCCTGGATTTGTATCGCTCCCCGCATCGCTCCCCAAAGCGCACCAATCCCGTGGCCATGAACATTGTGGAGAACCATCTGTATCTGTGCTGTGTGCTTGCTGGAGACAGCCCGGTGCTGCAGCTGGAGGTGAGCGTGGTTAGCGGGCCAGACTCCACTGCCACCCTCACGCCATCCACCTCGCTGCTTTCTAGCAGTACCTAGCCGTGGGCTCCCTGCTTTCCCTGGCCAGGCAGTGCTGGCAGGAGAGCTCTCTCCTGGAGGCAGCGAGCCACCTGCCAGGCCTTCTGGGCCACTGTGAGCTCTGCAGCATCCCTGGAGCAGCTTCGAGTCGGCCGCCCACCCTGGCTGGTTCATCGGCACCTCGAAAGCCAACGACAAGCCTGTCAGGATGGTGAACCGAACCGGCGAGCAGGACATCACGGATTTCTCTGTGCTCGAAGTCTAATCCCCGCCCTGCTGTCAGAGCTGTCCCAGCCACCTGGCTCAGGCCCTGTGCTTAATGGTCCTATGGATGGGAGGGACCTGGGGTCGGCCGCCCACCCTGGCTGGTTCATCGGCACCTCGAAAGCCAACGACAAGCCTGTCAGGATGGTGAACCGAACCGGCGAGCAGGACATCACGGATTTCTCTGTGCTCGAAGTCTAATCCCCGCCCTGCTGTCAGAGCTGTCCCAGCCACCTGGCTCAGGCCCTGTGCTTAATGGTCCTATGGATGGGAGGGACCTGGGGGATTATGGGGCCTGGTGCGGAGCAGCCGCAGGGGTCACCCTCCCCTCCCTCCTCCTCACCAGACGGCTCTGCCTGCAGATACTGGTTTAGAACTGAACACTCATCTAAACCTGCCATCTGAGCAGGTGCCAGCTGAGGTCCCTCCCCATTTCTCTGGAGGTGGGTGAAGGGGAGGGATCACATGAGGATCTGGGGTATCTGGGATTGGCCACTGTCGGCAGACAGGACACTGGCCTGGATTGACCTTTGGTCTGACCCCGTCTGGGCGCTCTGATGTTCTGATGTTCTCCCCGCTGGGCATCACACTAGCTGCAGTTCTTCTCCACTGGGCGCCAACCACTCGTGTTGCTCATCAGCTCATGGCCATTTGTGTCTGGCCAGAAACATGGCTCCAGTAGGATCCAGTGCAAGCTTCGGCTGGAGCTCCTTATAACAAAAGGCTCCTAATGAAGCCAATTTAGCTCTGTCTTTGAACAGTGGGGA